AGTTGACGTTTAAAACTCAAAATACGGAGAAAATGGGCAAGAATACTATATATCAATCAATGAAATTCTACTGAAAAAAGTACAAATAAACTCATCTAAATCTTTATTCATGAAAATGTCAAAACATTTATTCACAAATTTACTACTTCTGGGGTTACATTGAAAGGTGCAAATTCTTAAGAAAGATTGTAGACAAATAAATTGCAAATTAAAAAAAATAATTCTTTTGAATTATTATTATATGAATTTTAGAAAAAAAGAAAAAAGATGTATGCTTTCACTTAGGTTAGTGTTTTTTTTTCATATGAGCATTTGAAACTTTCTACCATTTCCTCTATTTTAAATCATCGACATGTATATGAGAAAACCCCAGGATTAACAAAATTAAAGAAAATTAAAGTATGAATTTCTAACAAAAAGCAATAGACAGCTTCTAAATGTAAACCAGTATAACTTTTCTTCCATAAAAACCTCGAATTTCTCATCCTAATGCCTATGTTTAGAAATTGAGACTTATTGATTAGTACTTAATTAACAAGCCCCAGATGGGTTCATTGTTATGAAAGATATTTTCAATAAAGTAGAGTTTTACCACAGCTGTTGTTATGTTTCATTATCTTGATGTATTCTTCTTTCTCAATATCTTATATTACGTAACAAATCCCTTCATTTCAGATCACAGAAGAGAAATGAATATAGTTTTTTGCGAGGGAAAAAGAAAGCACGAAATGTTTTTTTTTTTTCAATTAACAAGCCCGAAGAAAATAAACAGATGCAATTTAATCTTCATTGCAGTGTTTTTTCTTCTTTTCCCTAGAGCAATTTCTTGAATTCTTGACAGGATATTTCAAGAAATCGTGCATTGAAGACATAATTTTCTTTCTGCAACAAATCAGGAATAATAAACTGTGTGTTTCAGTACTGTGATTGTGTATGAATTATTCTAAAACAAGATATAGAAAGAATGATAAAGGGTGAGGGTAAAGAATAGTAATCGATCTCGATCATAAAAAACTTCAAATGATACAAATCTCTGAAAAAGGCATAAACGCTAAAGGATCATGTGTCTAAACTTAGGAAGCATCCCCTGTTGCCAACGGAAATTTCGCAATAGAGAGAAATTACCTACGGCGATCCAAGCTGACCTTACCATTACAACATTGATGTTGAACGCTTAATATAATGTAGCAATAAAGAACTACAAACAATACAGATATGTAAATAGAGCATACACGCCAACCCCTGAAATTTCAAAGGTAGGATCATGTGCCTAGAAAGAATAAGCATCCCCTGTTGTGCTAATTAGAAACTTCGCAACAGAGAGAAACATTAAACTGCAGAAGTTAAAAGCATAGTTAGCAAGTTTTAAAAAAAAGTTTTGGAAAATTTCAAAATCACCAAAATAAATTCTTTATATTTCCGTTTAAAGAAAAGCCATTTGAAAATTTTCAATCTCAAAAAAAAAAACCAAACTTGGAAGATATTAGCAATATATCATACAGTACAACAAACTTGTAAAGGAAAACAATCAAGATAAAAGCAATCCCTTTTTTGCTTATGGTTAACCATGGCATAATCTACACAGCGATTTTAATTTTGATAAGGAGTTCAGCATGAAAGCTTCAAAAGGATTGACAGAGAGTCCCCGAAAAAAGTGATGTTAAAGTTAAATTTACTCTTTTTTTCAAAGCCATGATCATTTGAAATTATTGAACGCAGAATCCACAACTGTTCTGTGGGTTTCATTTTAGATTTTTCCTATGCCATCTGCAGGAACATTTAAGAAGAAAATAAAAGATGGGAGAAATAATTACAGATTTGCCCCAAAATCATTCAGGTGATTAATAACTTAATAACTCAGGCTTATCATTTGTATATTTATATGAAAAACAATAGCAGGATTATATATAAAATGTTTTATTAAATTTAAACAGATGAATTCAAAACAAAGATAACTTTTCATTAATTACTTTTCAAGTAAAGATTCAGATTATTCACTACTTTTTTTTTTCATAAAGTAAATGAATAGAAAATGCTCTATTTGTAAGCAAAGACAACCAAAACATGTTACTTTGACAAGTTTTTATTTCCCTTACAGTTGCACCTAGTTCATATTTTGATTTTTATTTAAGCTTGTGAAAATGCAATTTTCATTCCGAAACAAAATATTCATAGCATGTGAATTACACAGGTGATATGTTTGAAGAGTGAGGAGTTGATAAGTAAGTATAAGAAATATCAACTGGTGTCCAAATTCAGCAATGGTATCGCAATAAAAGCTGAACATGTATCTAGATGGTAAGTGTACATGTAACACAAAGAGATAAACTGGCGATGTATCTGCTTTCTTTGCTATGGTATGCGTTATCATCGCGCGGTAAATCTTCATTTGTTCCAGCAAACACATCGTTTTTATTGGTCTTTATCAATGAAGAGCAAAAGAACTTGGCAATATATGTCAATATATATGACCCTGAATTATTTTCATTTACAAAAGGTAATTATCACATCATGTGTGATAAGAATAAAAAGAGTGAATTGTTCTGCTTATTTCTGACATTAGCACTTCAATTTTACCTCCCCATTGTCGCTTTACATTCATGTATTAACTAAATACAGAACAAGTTGACGACACGTCAGTTAAAACACACTATTTTGGTATATGGTTCGCTGCTGGAATTATGAAAAATAGCTCTGGTACTCCCTCATTGAAAAAAGTGAAACACAAAAACGTTAGGCGTAACCTTAATGAAATCTGTTCATTGAGTTCTAATAAAATAAAAAATGCTGATACAAAATTCAAAAATGAGACTAAAAAATCTCTTTTTAGAAAATTTATAACAGGGATTTATTGACATCTTATTAAACCTAATACTGTAATAATTTTTTTCAAGTACAAATTGATATGCCAAATTAATCCTTAAACGCACAAAAGGTGTAAATCCTAAAAACCATGGTTATGTCACCAGTTCGACTGTATACTACACGGGAAAACTGGCTCACAATTTACAAAAAGTTTCATATGAAATTCACATAAATTTCACTTTCATGTTATAAATACTTTGTTCTGAAATTTACGTGAAAACGTAAAAAGATTTAGACATTACTTACATATGAAGAGAACTTCACGGGGCAGTACTAAAAATGAATATTATATAGACTTATTCACATGAAATTCATATAATTTTCATATGAAAAGATGATGAGACACCTATATCATGTGATCCACTTTTCCCTGTGTGTCCATGCCAAATCAAAAACAATAAAAACGAAAGTGAAATTCCAAATTCCACAATAAAGTATCATGAAAACTTTCAATCTAAAGTTTAACCTTGAAATCCAATTTAAATCGTTTAAAATAATTAAACAATGCGAATTATGATCAGACACAGATATATGTTGATATTTAGCTATTTAATCTTTAGCTACTTCCTCTTTTTTCATTCTTAATGCATATGTGTAAATAAAATGCATCAGCCTCCTGTTACTGTTTGACAAATGATGTTTTTTTTAAAATATATTATATTTTCATTGTTATTCTTTCTCTTTTAACATTGCTTAGCTTGTACGAGTATGTTTCATAATTGAAAAATCTCGTAGATTAGAATCAGTCCTTCAGTGGAAATACTTCCCAAAATATGTAAAAGTGAATTCCTTCATTATTCTAATTTTAAAAGTACCATAATGACATAATACGTCTTCACATATTTGAGATTTCATAAAAAACAGGGAATAAACAGAAGTATATAACCTCAGTAGACGTAAATTTAAAAATATATTTATTTGGTTTCTGTGAAACACTAATTTTAGTGGTTTTTTTTTCGTGGTCTCCAAGATATGAAGAGACCCATATGTGCACCATGAACTACAATTTTACACAAATTACTACTGAGCAATTTTTTAACCACTAAATCAAATCCCCATGAACCAATATATATTCATCAAACCATGAATATTTGACCCCTCGAAAATATCTGAGTTTACAGCTGTATATATACAGTCTGCACATATTTCTTATTGGGATAGACACAGTATGTACATGATTCTTATTGGGATATATACGGTCATTACGTATTGTCTGTTAAAAACACTGTAACGTTTTTTTAATCGAATTGATTGAAAAGGAGTATAAATTAAACATATATGGCCAGTTACTAAGAGTATCAAGGTAATCTCTTTAATCATTCAATTTTTAATGTCCTAAAGTATGCAAATTCCCAATCTAATGTTATAAAGTATGTAAATCCTAATTTTTAATGTTATAAACTATGTAAATCCCCAATTTTTAATGTTATAAAGTATGTAGACCTCCTGTCAGCTATTAGAATATATATTATTTACAAGAACGGAACGTGCCTATATTGCAATTATTCCTACAATAAATCATATATTTTATACTTGTGTAAACCAAAAAAAACTTGTTTTAATGTATTCAGATTTTTTTACTGATAGGGTAATTTTCAGTTTTGCATCTTTTATTATCTTTGTCGAACCCTTGAGCTCAACCTCTATACTCTTTTCATGAATTTTATGGTCAATTCTCTTACTCCTTTCACGAAAGGTTGCGTACATATACACATTTTAATCTCCAAAAGCCCATTAATGGAATGAGAAAGAAAACGAAAAGTCGATATCACAATTTTGGGAAAAATTAACCAAGAAGCCGAAAGCAATAAATGACTTTTTAAAAAAGAATTTCATCATAACATTTATTGCTTGAATTGATTTACCGGAGCAACGGTACAGGCTTTCAATAAATTCATAAATGGCATACTTTTGAAAGAAATTTAGATGATTTGAAACTGATTTTTTTTTTACTTTCCTAATCATAAGATGCAAATACACGTGAAGCTTTTCTTACTTTAAAACATTGTATTATTTACGTGCATCTAACGAGATATAAAAGTGATTTAAATTAAATCTTAAATGCATCAATGTTATAGAATATTAATTTTCTACCTATCAAGAGAAGACATGAGTAACATCTAAGCCGTACGTACAATTCTATGATGAAGATTTTCAAATTCCTTCTCTGTTATAGTTCCAGTTAAGCCTACTCTCCCTCGTCCTAAAGAAAAGTATTCCTTCTTACTAGAGCTAAGATTCCCAGTAGAAACAGAATTTGGCGCCTTTTCGACGACGATCGTCTGCTTTGCGGCGTTGCCTCTTTTCCGCTTGCTGGAGAACATGCTTATCTTCTGCAATAGTCTCAGAAATGACGCCATACTCTCACCTGGCGGTTTCTTATAGGTATCCCGCCTCTTTGACCCCAATACGCAAGAAAAGCAGTCACAATCACGTGATTTATTTTTACTCAAGTCTCCATTCCAGTGCGCCCATACTTTGGGTTTTTGGTGCTAAACACTTGTTATATATATATGAAGTAAATACTATCGATTTCCAGCCATTCCCCAAAGAGGTAGGCCATCTAGACAAGTCAACTAACTTTGGCCAATATTGCCTAATTTTACGAATGCAGATCTGTTTTATTTTGTAGAAGGTCGCTTAGGGTTGAACTGAATTTCATCTTCAGTAATAAAAATATTCAGAAAAAAATCTCTATGAGATTGATGTGTTCAGAACTGTGAGCGATCAGTCATCATGCGAGAGCAGTATCCCAACGTAACTGTTGACTTTTCTAAACCCTGTTGCCTTTTTGATTAAAAGCCACTCAATGTTTATTTTGCCAAATAAAACAGACCGTCAGATTATTATGTAAATGACGCAGTTCTTCATTCTGCAAATACTAGAATTCCAAAAAGCCAGTATCTGTTGACTTTTCAGAGCAACTTCATTCCAGGACGATTAAAATGCTGCCAAATTTAGGCTTCAATCAAACATAAATGGAGAAAATTAAACAGCCTTTTCTCAACAAATGTAACGAATGTATCAAAGAATTTAACCAACACAAATAACGCACCAGAAGTACAACTTGGAAGTTCTTCGTTAAATGAGTGACAAAATTATTTCTAAGTGACGAAAAACTTAAACTTTTGAATTAAGTAACGATAATACTGAAAAACAATAGTGAATTTTTAGTAACCGTTGTAATCAGTGAAGAACGTGCAAACTGCAGTAGAACGTGCAACTCACAGTAAACTAGTAATACGAATCGTAAACAGAGAAAGCATCATAGTTGGATCACGTGCCAAGGAGAATTAAGCTTCCCCTGTCTACTAAAATCTTATTTCCAAGGTATACCTCTGATGTATCAGTGTTTTTCTTCAAAGTTTTGTGGAAAGTCATTTAAGAAAAATTGGTAGATTTCTGAAAATTTAAAATGTGGCAAATTATTAAAAGGATACAAGTAGTTGCTTATCTTTCTTTTAACTTCAGTGAATCGTTGTCGGTATTTGCTAGAATGACATATTTTTGAAATAAAATGTGGAAACTTTGCTTGAGCAAAGTTGTCCTTTGAGCAATAGTTAAACAACAGAATTTGACATGTTTGAGGAATAAATAAATAAATTTTAAAACCTAAAAAAGTAGCTTTCAACTTATGAAAGATAAAGTAAAACTGTTTTAGCTACGAAATTAATATTTTTGTTGACTATCACTTAACCGACTTCCGTATGTGTAATATTTGTTGATCAAAAACATACTTGGGTTCAAAACTCTCGAAATCATGCGGGAATTCCCAAGGGTTTTTATTTTATGACGCGTAATTGGCTTTATGAAAATAACGGGATGTCGATCCCGAGGGATATCAGTATATTAGGTACTGTTAAGTAAAGAAAAAGGTTCACTAAGTATATCAGAACGTAAACACACCACATAAAAATGCAGATTTTACAATACACCATCTAATTAGATAGCTGAAATTGCATTATTTTGTGTTACAGAAAAAAATTGTGAAAAAAGGACGTGGATCTAGTTTTAAATAAAGAGGAACGATTAGTGTTTACTTTTATTGATAAGACAATCGAGGAACCGCCGAGGGAGACATAACATAAAAATAAGACCAACAAATAAATTCTATTAGACGGAGATAATTGATCGTGTATCCTCTGGAGGGTAAATTACAAGTCAGACCAAACACTCTGGTGGAGGGTTACAGACTTATTTATGTATCTTTATTTACTCCTTATATTTCTATTCATTGTTTATACGTCTCGTGACGAAGATATTTGTTTTCTCGTATTGTCATTCAATGCTCCTTTTCATAACAACACTAAACGAACAGTCACGTGATCAGAGAAAGATTTGTATGATTAATAAAAGAATAGTCACGTGGTCAGAGGGAAACCACGATTACTGAGAGAACTCACGTGATCAGACAGATTGTAATTGATTAGCATGAATAATTTTTTTTTTATTATTAAAATTGAAAAGTTATATTAATTTTTTAAAGAATAGAATCACGAAATCAATATATAATACCAGTCTAGCTTTTTAATTTTGCTTTTATAATTATTTATTACTTTTTAAATAAACATAATTTTTATTCTTTATTGCAAAAGTAATACATTTTATGGCACCTTTATCGAAATCATCTTTCGTTACATTGTAGATAATAAGAAACGACAGAGAACATTCAATGAAAAAATACTTTTGAGAATAAAGAAGGAATATTTTTGTATTCATCTGGTTAAGATTAACGTACATAATTCAAGGTAACAAAATATTTTTACATTCTCCGGGGGAAATTCATTAAAAACTCTACTGCAAATAGACAAAATTATTTTTCAACCATAAACAAAAAGAAGACAAAGTTTTAAAGTATTTAATAAAATCTCTTCATGTTGTCACCAAATATTAAGACCATGATATATTTACATTAGAGATATATATGAATTAAATCATGGCGTTCTCTTAGGAACGTTAAACTAACAACCGTATCTTAGAACTAATAAATGATCCTCTCAATACAAAAAGGAATTGGGTCTGAACGATGAGCGAATCCGGTTCCAAATTGAATTTTATGTTTCACCTGCATTAAACTACGGTCTTAAATCACGAGGAAGCGTAGGGTATAGACATTTTTAGTACAGAAGAGACATGACACAGCAATGCTGCACAATTACGGTTCGTAAGATTTCGATATAAAGATGATTTGCAGTCATTTTACGACATACTTCCGGTTTCTGGCAAAAACGCCGGAAATCATTAAGGACAATCACGAGAGATCGTCATCGCATGAATAGAGTTAAATGAATATTTATTCGTTATTATACAACATTATTGCACTGTAATCCTTAATACCATTTTTCAAAGCTATTCAGTTGTTTCTTGTAAGTTAATGATCGATATATATACCAGAGCAAATTTATTTGACATTATTATTTTCTTCGTTTCTCCCATTCTGTTATGAAAGGATGACATAGAAGGTACAATTTACCAGAAAAGAGAAATACCATGAACCAATGCAGAGATCTAATTCTATCTAAAGACCACCGTATTTCAAGCCAAAAAATACTATAGTTATTATTATTAAATTCAAACATCAGAAAGGAACTTAATGCTTACGTGTTTATTCAAATATCTTTTTTCATTTGATATACGTATCTCTTTGAGACGTTTAATTTTCATTCTCTTTTGGAAAAAAGAAGGAAAATATGATTGTAATCGGTCAATTTATATTCCCAATGGAAAATTACCGTCGAGTAATGTAAGTAGACAAAATAGCCGAACTCAATCGGCCAAAAATTTACTTTTTGTCTCTTAAAGAATATATTGATGGTAATTTTGGAAGGAGTCTAGATTAATTTTCTTCGAGTTATTACATTATTTAAAACCCAGTGGAATATTAAATTCAATTATGACGCGTTTTGTGTTAGTTTTCCTTTTCTAGATCCCTGTGTACCGAAAGCAATTACCCATAATGCAATGGTGTATGTATTAAAAATCTAATAAAGGAAAGTTATGAACAGCAAATTAACCTTTTAGAATCAATAGAAATTAGGAACCAACTCCTGACTTCGAATTACATTAGTAAGCTGCGTTCAGAATCTTCACCGCTACATAGTACAAAATGGCATGGTAAAAGTTGAGAAAATACCTTTAGCTGGGTTAGTCCCACATAGGAATAAAGAACATTAATTTGTAAAATTCATGCAGTGCCTTCAAAAAGCCTGTTGAATACGTAGATATACATCTTCATTAACAACTAAGTTCAAGATATCTTAGATATTAAATTGGACAACTTGCTATAAATTTTTTTTAAAGATCATACCTGCTAGCTTAGTTGTTAACGCCTTTACTTTGTGTTTATGTGTTCGTCCAATAAAAAATGATCAGCAACACTTTCGCATGTAACTTTGCTAAGAAAATTGATAAAATCTTCCTTTTTGTGCAATATTACTACGCATCATCATTTTAATTATATTGAACAATATAATCATCCTTAGAAAATACTTGTTAAGACTTGTTTTACTTGAATTTATTAAATTAAATATATACGATAATATATGAATCATATGCATTCTACCATTTCTTGACATCAAATTTAAAATTTTCAAAATTGAAAATTTTAATTAAGTTAATCACCACAACTGACTGTATTTCACCTAGTGCATCGCTGTTAAAAAAACGACTTTTGTACAAAAAAATGTTTTTGAAACACTTTTCCCACCTATGCCACATATGGCAGCCCAAAGCCAATTGTAAAATAAATTAAATGCAGGTCAAAATCAAAGAATGAACATTCAAAATGTCGACACCTAAAAAATTCACGTCATGTGAATTTAATAGCCTAGTACCAAAAATACAACCAAACGTTCAAGTTTTCTTTTCAACTTCAGAGTTAATATCAAGAAACAAAATAAAGCGGTACCAAAAGAAAGTAATTTCAAAAGTTAAGTGAAAAATGAAGACCCGAGCAACAACTGTTCAAAATTTACAGGGGAAGTTTAAATTTAGTTTAAATGAAGGTAAATCTGAAAGGGTAAGGACAAAAAAAGGTATCCAAAGAAAATTTTGGTCACAATGAAAACACATGTGATATGTGAAAGCACTAGCAACCATCTTTAGAAAGCGAAGAGAATTTTTTTCAAAAGAAGTTAAAATTCCCAGATAGGAAGGTTAAAAATATTGGTACTCAATAAAAGGTCTAGATTCAAGGAATATTTCTCTCGAGGTCTTATCACTCCAAGGTTTAGACCAAGACGTCAAATACATTAGTACCCAAAAGAGGTTTGTCAGAAGAAATAACAAGTGAAATATAAAATCCCTATCATTAACCATTTTAAAGTAATGAATTAGAATAGATGTAATTCATCTCCAAGATAAAGAGACCAAAAATGATAACATCCATAGAAAGCATTATTCACATCGAATACACCTGGAAATACATGGAAATTATAAAAGATCCTATTACCAACGAAGCAGAAGATATCATAAATAATTTTTTTACAAAGAATGTCAATTTGATAGTCAAAAGTCAATTGTTAGGTCAAATTTAAATTCATCAAAGTAGTACAGTTTTTACCCTTTGACAGTTACCATTGAGTGTGGCCAACTTTCGGTAGTCTTGAACCTTGGGCATGTTGCCCTTAGAACGGTACGTGAATGAGAAATTTCATATTTCACCTAAAAATGTATTTCGGTGGACAAAACCTTCTCTTGATTACCAATAATCTCAACC